AGTGGCTCGAAGCTCACCCCAGCATGGCTCAGGCTTCATGAAAGCTGTCTCCCTGCATCTGTCTCCCTGCACAACTTGTAAGTAGTTGGCAGAACAGACTCTCCTTGCGACTCTACCGATGGGAGCCTCCTTTCCCTAGCTTCCATAATGGGGAGGAGGGGTGTTATGAAGCTTGTGAGTCTCAGCATTCTTAAACCTGGAGGTTTGATGACTTCCTGAGTCTCAGGACCACCTTCCTCCCTCCAGGAAGGAGTGTTTCAATTGGAGGAAATAACCACACCACCATACCCAAAGGTTTCTGGGTAAAATGTTGAAATTGAATGTTCTTGACATCTGATTCTTTGAGACTTAGCCTCACTTCCCTTAGAACACTGGGGTCTCCATCTGCCCATCCTCCAAACGGTACTAATATTAGCATGACGCTAATGGGGATGAGGATATGGCAGAAAATATCCAGCCTCTGATCCACTGACCTGGATCCATTTCTCTTGTGAGTCAGTAGAGGTAGAAGGAAGCTCACAGGAAAACTGAGCAGAACAACCATGCCAACTTCTTTCCTTTGGAGTAGAACCTTTCAAAATGCATGGGATGGAACACTCCTGAAATTCAAGAGAAAAAGACCTGTCAAGAATTTAGAGAGAGCCAGGTGTGGTGGTGCATGACTTTAATCCCAACACACTCAGAAGGCAGAGGCAGGTGGATCTCTGTGAGTTGGAGGCCAGCCTGGTCTCCAGAGCAAGTGCCAGGATAGGCTCCAAAGCTAAACAGAGAAACCCTGTCTCGAAAAAACAAAGCAAAACAAAACAAAAACTTAGAGGAATGCTGCAGGGTTGTGGTTATTTTCCTTCAAATCCAAATCTGTTTCTCTCCCTTTCCCCTTTTCTTCTGTGTCTTGGGCTTTCATATAGTCCTGAGACTCTAGACAATGTCCCCTTGGTCACAGATGTCCCTTTTACGAGCAGGGGATGAAATTCACACTTGTTATTTTGGGTGCTTCACCTGGAAGTCAGGTTTTGGTTCATGCTATGAAAGAGCCTTGTCAAAGAACTACATGCAGAGACCTGGCCAACACACCTAGATTCCTGGTCCATAAAATAGGGCAATTTTTACTTTTAGTGACGCCTTATTTCAATCATGCAAAAGAGCTTCAGTTTGGAGTGTTAGATTCTAATGAAACCTTGATGCCAAGACTGATAAAAAAAATTGGCTAGAAAACTTGGCAGAATTTCTCAGTCAGCCATCTGCCTAGGAATGACCTTGTTATCAAGGCCAATACCAAAAACCACCCTGGATACAAGGCAGCAGTGGGACCCCTCTGGGAAAAGGTCTGGTAAGCTCATTGTAGAGCCCTCAGACAGGAGACACTTCCACTGCGAAGGGATTGTCTTTGCTTCTTCCTTCCCACAAAAGCATACTTCTGATGCACTTTGTTTCTTGGGAATCCGGGGTGAGAAACTCTAAAGAATGTATAGCAGGCACAGACCTGTGTCAGCCTAGAGTGAGATGGGGAAGGGTGGGCGGGCCTAGGGAGAGGGTTGCCAACACAAATGTCTTATGGGGACTTGGAAGTTTTGCCAGGAGGCTGACAGGGATGTGCCCTTGTCTACAGAAGGTGCCTGGTTCCCCCTGGTCTAGGCTGAGGAATCTGGAGTCATGGGAAAGGGCAGAGAAAACTGCTGCAGGGAAGGACTAGAATGCAAAAGAACTAGGCGAATGCCAAGGGACTACTGGAATTTCCCAGGACCTGGGAGGTGAGGGTGAGAAGCCAGAGGGCCCTCAGAGGAAAAGGAAGGGGTGGGGGTGAGTTCACCGTACCTCTACTCAGTTCCTGATTACTGTGCTGGGTAGAAGGGATCCTCTGGTGTCTGGGGCAGAAGGTGAGTATGGAGCCATGGCTTGAGAATTTCAGCACACCAAATTCACTGTACCATCTGCCCAAAGGTTGTGGGCATCCGATCAATTCACAGACAATGCAAGACACACTGGAGTTGGAGGTGGCCCTTCCACGGTACTCCATTCTAACTACACTGATGGCCACTGTCTTCCCTGCCTCAGTAACACAGGCATTGAGGTTCACTAGTACTTAGGCTTCTCATTTTAACTTTCCCACCTTTTCTAAGTCCCCAGGTGGATTGGGTGACTTTGTACTTCCAGAAAGAGCTGCATGCTTGCCTTATTGTGTAACATCCCATCGTGTTGTAATTTCTGGCTCACATCTCCATCTCCCTGCCATCTGCATTCCTGGAACAGGAACTGTTCTTGTCTGTCTGTCATGGCCAAGCCAAAGGCTCTCACTGAGTAGACAGATGCTCACATACCCACAAGGATCACTCCAGCATTGAGTATCCCTTAGGGACTAGGGTCAAGAGAACCTAGTACTGTGTACCTCCTATCCAATGGGAATGCACTTTGCCACCGCCTATCCACACTGCCATCTCCCAAGAAGCTGCCAAGAATGGCCTTTCCAACTGGCAAAGGGATATGCTTTCCTTCCTGGAAGGTTTTGGCTGGAGAACTGCCCCTTGCTTCTAAGTTGCTGGGGCCACACAAGGATGAAGTTGTATCAGCCCTAGCCTTGTTACCGTTTCCCAAAGCTTGTGTCATCCACCTCTTATCTTCTCCAAGAACATCTGGCAGGGACCAGGTTTCTCCAATCCTGGGTAGTAGAGATGAGGGGTGGGATTGGCTAATGCCTCTGGTCACCTGGCCACCTTTAGCTCTACTTAACCAACACAAATCTACAGTCCACCACATTGAAAAAAGAACATGCCTAGACTTGGTATGATGGGTGCTTGCTGTTTTTTTTTTTTTTTCTTCTAGAGAGAGTTTCTCTGGCTGTCCTGGTACTCACTCTACAGACCAGGCTGGCTTCAAACTCAGATCTGCCTGTCTCTGCCTCCAGAGTGCTAGGATTAAAGGAATATGCCAACATGTCTGACTAGGAGTGCTTGCTTAACATGTGGATGGTCAGTTCCCAACACACATGCACACACATCTATAAAGCCCCAATCTGAACAAAACCTTAACCCCCTTCTTAGGCAAGAATGGCTACTTCACAGCCTTCCCCACAGCCCAGGGAACACACGACTAATTTCGGCTTCTTTATTTTCCTTTTAATTTTTCTGAAGGATATACACCACATATCCCATGGGCAATAAAGCGCATTCAATGTGTTTATAAGCCAAACAAGTCACTTTGTTTAAGCAAACACAAGTACAAAGTAAAATAAAACCACAAAATAATGAACTTCATGTTCATAACATACAAAAATTGCCGCCTACTCAGTAGGTAACTACAACATTCCAACTCCTGAATATATGTATAAATTTACATTTTCAGTTAAAAAAATAGACTTTTGAGAGTTCAGATTTTGTTTTAAAATTTTTCTTCTTACATTCTGGAGAACCAAAGCTCAGCTCAGCCCTCTTCCTCATTTCTCTCTCAAAGCCTCCCCCAAAACATCACTCCTACCCCTTTAAGGCCAGAGGTGAGCATGTCCCTCACAATTGCACATGTCAAGCCATCGGCAAGGCGTGTCACACAAAAGGCACCAAGACGTGAAACTCTTTTAACCAAAGGGACGGGCAAATTTAAAAAAAGGAAAAAAAAAAAAAAAAACAAACCATACTTTGTCACATGTGAGAGTACAGTCGAGCAGTATTTACAAAAAGGTTAACGGAACACTCTGACACATGCTCTGGTTAATACCTAGGACTGCTGCTTCAAAAGATGCTCCACACATGTTGTCACAGCAGCCATCACAAAATAAGAGGGTCACCACTGGTTTGCTTGGCTTTGCTCCCCCTCCCCCCCAAAGTGAGGACGGAACTCCAAATAATACAATAGGGTATGCAAATTATCTTCACATCAAGGGTACCCCAAGGAAAACAAAATCCATGGCACAGACACTGTACAAAGATACAGGGCAGGGTTCTGAGGGCCCAAACCCGTTTTTTTGCCAACTTGATGTAGCACTGAAGGGAGCAAGGGTCAGGCATACGATGGAGACGATACTGAAATGATTAATCCAATACCCATGCAAATCAAGTTCTTTGGATAGAGGTGAAGAACTCAGACATGGCTGTTTCAGGCAGCTGAAGTCAAAGGGAATAGGAATGGGGAGGCAGGGACGGTAAAAGGACTGTTGGCCAACAGACCTTCTCTTGGCTAGAGAGAGGTCGTGGCTCTGACTTAAGAGGAGCCCCTTCTGAGGGAGTCAGAAAAAGATGCCCTCCTGTCCATTGTCTTTTCATTTTTTTTCCCTGCTCCCTTTGCTTTCTTTCTTTCCCTTTAGCAAATTTCAATTGTCCTTGGAGAAAAGGTGGCTGTCATGTCCGAAAGCCCAGTTGAAGTGCTGAAGGAGTTAGTGACAGCTGCAGATGGGAAGCTGCTGACCTGGGCAGGGAAAGCAGGTGGAACGGAGGCATAGGTGGTGGCCACTGAGGGCGAGGGGAAGCCACTGTGTGCAGGAGATGGGTAGGTCGAGGAGCCAGGAGAGGAGTAGGAGGTGGGCACAGGGGATGGAAATGAGGTGGTGGCAGGGGATGGGTAAGAGGTAGCCACTGGGGATGGGTAGGAAGAGAGGGAAGAGGTGGCCGAAGAGGCCACAACACTTTTGTCTGCTTTCTTGTCCTTCTGTCGTAAGTGGATTTTGGTATGCCTCTTGCGTTCATCACTTCTGGCAAACTTTCTCCCACAAATGTCACAGGCAAAAGGCTTCTCGCCTGTGTGGGTGCGGATGTGAGTGGTAAGGTGGTCACTGCGACTAAAGTTGCGCATGCAGATTCGACACTGGAACGGCTTCTGGCCCGTGTGGATGCGGATGTGACGGGTGAGCTCGTCAGAGCGAGAAAAACGGCGATCGCAGGATTCCACTGGGCAGGCATAAGGACGTTCGTGGGGGGGTGTCTTGCTGGGCCGGTTAGGGTACTTGCGCATGCGGCTGGGTTTGATGAGTTGGGATTGGTAGGTGGTATTAAGAGCCTTTAAGTCCTGGGATCCCGACTGAGTGGCGAAGGCTTTAATAGTGGATAGTGGAGTAAGTGAAGGCTGCTGGGTACGGTTCTCCAGACCCTGGAAGGGCTTCTGGTCTGGGGTGCCCAGGCCCAGGTCTCCCTGTTGTTGTGGGAACAGATAGTCAGGGATCATGGGAACCTGGAAGCCACCCTTGGCGGCAGGGTAGGCAGGAGGCGGGGACTGTAGGGCAGTGCCTGCTGAGCCGGGAAAAGCCTGGCTTTGGGGCTCAGGAAAAATGTCAGTGTTGGGAGTGGGAAAGGTGGGTGCAGCTGAGTAAATGGGACTGCTGTCGTTGGATGGCACAGCACAGCTCAGGGGTGGGCTCTGGGAGGCAGAGGAAGACGTTGAAGCTGCTGGAGAAGGTGCTGAGGATGAAGAAGCCGGAGGATTGGTCATGCTCACGAGGCCACTGACTAGGCTGAAAAGGGGTTCAGGCCACAAAGTGTTGCCACTGTTGGGTGCAGGCTCCAGGGAGAACCGACCAGTGTAGGTGATGGGAGGCAACCGAGTAGTTTGGCTGGGATAACTTGTCTCCACCATCGCCTTCTCATTATTCAGAGCGATGTCAGAAAAAGACTCTGGCAGGAATGAGAGGAGAGAGGCCTGGTTACTAAAGAGCAAATCACTGGGCGATGAGAACCGA